TGTGTGTGTGTTTTCAGATCTGGAGGTGTATGTGCTCAACACAGAGATGGAGCTGAAGGATCTGTTCTTCCCGAACTCGTATGACAGCGACAGCACCATCCAGGTGTCGTCATCTACCATCAAACAGTACAGCCGCAACGGTCAGTCTCTCTCTCTCTCTCTCTCTCTCCGTCTGTCTGTCTCAGTCTTTCTCAGACTCACACTCTTCACTAGGTTTCACTGCACCACAAGTATCCAGGCCGGTTCGCTCGGCGTTGCCATGGCAACAGTCCCCATGGTCACCGGCTCCTGTGGCTGTTGCCGTGGTGACGCACGTGTGTGTGAGATCGGCCGTATTGATCGCAGCTGAACGTGTTGTGTAGATCTGACCGTGTGTGTGTGTGGCTCCATCAGGTCAGGTGAAGGTGGTTTTCACGCTCTATAAGAACCTGGGCTCGTTCCTCTCCACTCAAAACGCCACGGTGAAGATGCACGGCGAGTCTGGAGGACACAGTCTAGCCGTCAACTCCCACATCATCTCTGCCTCCATGAACAAAGAGTCCAGCCGCGTGTTTCTGACCGATCCTGTAGAGTTCACGCTGAGACACCTGCAGGTGCTAACACATACTGCAACACACACGCACACACACACTCACTCACACACACACACACACCGCAACACACACGCGCACACACACTCACTCACACACACACACACACACACACACTGCAACACACACACTGCAACTATATCATAATATTTAATATATCCAATGTATTATTTCACAGTAATGTGTGACTAATGTGGCATCAGATTAAATGAGTGTCATTGGTCATGTGACTTAAATATTCTTTTATCATCTCAGATCCGTCTGGAGAACATGATCATCCGGTTTAGTTTATGAAGCGCCAGTGCTGCTAAAGACACACCAAATACATTCTCATTTATTCAAAACAAATGAATAAATAAAAAATAAAAAAACATTTTCTCATGTGCTCTCAGACATATGAGTTTGTGAGAGACACAAACACACTCTTATAAACCGCTCACGGGCGTCTGTGTGTTTTGACAGCTGGAGAATCACTTCAATCCCAATTGTTCGTTCTGGAATTACTCTGAGCGCTCGATGACGGGTCAGTGGTCGTCACAGGGCTGCAGACGTCTGCACAGCAACAACACGCACACCACCTGTGCCTGCTCGCATCTCACCAACTTCGCCGTGCTCATGAGCCACCAGCAGCCCGCCGTGAGTCTCAAACACTCACACAGGAACTTAACCCTTCACACGCCGCATGTGTCAGTCATTCATGCTCTGTTGTTCTCTCGGTGCCAGTATCCCGGCGGCGTTCAGGGTCTGATCCTGTTCGTCATCACATGGGTGGGGATGGTGATCTCTCTGGTGTGTCTGGCTCTGTGTATCTCCACCTTCTGCTGCCTACAAGGCCTTCAGAGCGACCGCACCACCATCCACAAGAACCTGTGCCTCACACTCTTCATCTCACAACTCCTCTTCCTCATCGGCATGGATAAGACACACTATACCGTGAGTTCACGAGGACCAGACCTTAACAGAACACATTAGATTAAACCAAACCTCATCAGACCAACCAGACCACACCAGATCACATTAGAGTACAGCACTCTACTCAAGACCACGTCAAACAAAACCAGACTCGCATCAGACCAAACAAGACAAATTAGACTAAACCAAACCTCATCAGACCAAACAATCAACCTAAACCAGACCACGTCAGATCACATTAGAGTAAACCAGGCTACATCAGACCACATTAGACTAAACCAGACCATATCAGACCTAACAAGATTTTATCAGACTAAATCAGACCACATTAGACTAAACCAGACATACATCGGTCCTAAAAAGACTAATCAGACTAAACCAAACCTCATCAGACCAAACAATCAACCTAAATCAGACCACACCAGACCACATTAGAGTAAACCAGACACACATCAGAGCAAACAAGACTTTATCGGACTAAACCAGACCACATTAGAGTAAACCAGGCTACACCAGACCACATTAGACTGAACTAGACACACATAGGCCCTAACAAGACTTTATCAGACTAAACCAGACCACACCAGGTCACATTAGAGTAAACCAGGCTACGTCAGACTGCATTCACCTAAAGCAGACCATATCAGACCTAACAAGACTTTATCGGACTAAACCAGACCACAACAGATCACATTAGAGTAAATCAGCCTACACCAGACCACATTAGACTAAACCAGACACACATCAGATTACATTAGAGTAAACCAGACACACATCGGTCCTAACAAGATTTTATCAGACTAAACCAGACCACATCAGATTACATTAGAGTAAACCAGGCTACACCAGACCACATTAGACTGAACTAGACACACATCTGTCCTAACAAGACTTTATCAGACTAAACCAGACCACACCAGATCACATTAGAGTAAACCAGACACACATCGGTCCTAACAAGATTTTATCAGACTAAACCAGACCACATCAGATTACATTAGAGTAAACCAGGCTACACCAGACCACATTAGACTGAACTAGACACACATCGGTCCCAACAAGACTTTATCAGACTAAACCAGACCACACCAGATCACATAAGACTAAACCAGACACACATCGTTCCCAACAAGACTTTATCAGACGAAATCAGACCACACCAGATCACATTAGCGTAAACCAGACACACATCGGTCCTTACAAGATTTTATCAGACTAAACCAGACCACACCAGATCACATTAGAGTAAACCAGACACACATCGGTCCTAACAAGACTTTATCAGACTAAACCAGACCACACCAGATCACATAAGACTACACCAGACACACATCGTTCCCAGCAAGACTTTATCAGACTAAATCAGACCACACCAGATCACATTAGAGTAAACCAGACACACATCGGTCCTAACAAGATTTTATCAGACTAAACCAGACCACATCAGATTACATTAGAGTAAACCAGGCTACATCAGACCGCATTCACCTAAACCAGACCACATCAGAGCAAACAAGACTTTATCAGACTAAACCAGACGACATCAGATCACATTAGAGTAAACCAGGCTACACCAGATCAGCTCAGCAGTGAAGTGTTCATGCGTCAGGTGTGTGTGTGTGCAGGTGGTGTGTCCGGTTCTGGCCGGTCTGCTGCACTTCTTCCTGCTGTCAGTGTTCTGCTGGCTCTGCATGGAGACGGTGCAGCTGTACGTGCTGATGGTGGAGGTGTTTGAAAGTGAGACGTCTTGTCGTAAGACCAGACCACATTAGACTGAACCAGACACACATCTGTCCTAACAAGATTTTATCAGACTAAACCAGACCACATCATATTACATTAGAGTAAACCAGGCTACACCAGACCACATTAGACTGAACTAGACACACATCTGTCCTAACAAGACTTTATCAGACTAAACCAGACCACATCATATTACATTAGAGTAAACCAGGCTACACCAGACCACATTAGACTGAACTAGACACACATCGATCCTAACAAGACTTTATCAGACTAAACCAGACCACACCAGATCACATTAGAGTAAACCAGACACACATCGGTCCTAACAAGATTTTATCAGACTAAACCAGGCTACACCAGACCACATTAGACTGAACCAGACACACATCTGTCCTAACAAGATTTTATCAGACTAAACCAGACCACATCATATTACATTAGAGTAAACCAGGCTACACCAGACCACATTAGACTGAACTAGACACACATCTGTCCTAACAAGACTTTATCAGACTAAACCAGACCACATCAGATTACATTAGAGTAAACCAGGCTACATCAGACCGCATTCACCTAAACCAGACCACATCAGAGCAAACAAGACTTTATCAGACTAAACCAGACGACATCAGATCACATTAGAGTAAACCAGGCTACACCAGATCAGCTCAGCAGTGAAGTGTTCATGCGTCAGGTGTGTGTGTGTGCAGGTGGTGTGTCCGGTTCTGGCCGGTCTGCTGCACTTCTTCCTGCTGTCAGTGTTCTGCTGGCTCTGCATGGAGACGGTGCAGCTGTACGTGCTGATGGTGGAGGTGTTTGAAAGTGAGACGTCTCGTCGTAAGTACTACTACCTCTCCGCGTACGGCTTCCCCACACTGGTGGTGGCCATTTCCACTGCCATCGACTACAGGAGCTACGGAGGACCCAAAGCGTGAGTGTGTTTCCATCTGCAGGACTCGCAAGTCCTGACATCGGTGTGTTTGCGTGTGTAATTTCTCTCTCTTGTGTTGTGCAGTTGCTGGCTGAGGGTGGATAACTACTTCATCTGGACGTTTATTGGCCCCGCCTCCCTCGTTATCCTGGTAGGAGTCATTTTAATGCATTGGTTTATATAAATCAATGCATCAATTTCAAATACATCACCTTTCTGTTAGTTTCTCTCTCTCTGTCTCTCTGTGTGTAATTAAAATATTTGTAATTTATATTTCAAATGTATGCTTATTTTAATACACTAATATTTATTTCTTTGAGTTATTATAACTGTTTTAAGTACTATTCTAAGTTCCGTTTCCATTATGATAAATGTCTTATCCTTTTATTTGACCAGACTGACAAACCTTAGCACATATTTACACATGTATGCACATGAAAAATTGTTATAATATTTAGATTTAAAAAAATAATAATGTTTATTTATTTACAATCAAAACATTTTTATTTTAATTAAAAAAATATTTTTAAGTGTATGCAGCTATTATATACATACAAGCAGAACACACTTTGAGTACTATAGCATATATCACAATGCAATGTGCTCAACGAGACCCTCTGTTTCCAGGTTGAATGTTTTGACTCATTATTTGACCAGACTGACATGTTTACACAAAATTGGATTAAAATGCAAAATAACTTTATTTGTGAGTGGATACATGGAGGCCACTTGCTGGAATGAGCATCTTCTGAGTGTTTTCTGCTCTCTTAAGAGCCTGTCTGACCTTTGACCTCTTGTGTGTAGCTGAACCTGGCAGTGCTGGTCATCACCATCCACCGCATGCTGCGGCACTCCACTGTGCTGAAGCCAGACTCCAGCCGATTAGACAACATCAAGTAAGAATGCAGGGGTCAGGGGTCACACTCAGTTCCTCGGCTACAGCATATAATATTTACTGGAAATCTGTTGCTGTGAGCGCTCTATCTAGACAATAATATACAGCCTCACGGTCCAGACATGACGGATGTCTCCAACATTTACAGATAATTGACAAAAAAACAAACAAACAAAAACAATAAAATTAAATTAAATAAAACTCTGTGAAATCTTGACGGGACATTTTTGAAGATATCTATTTAGAGAAATGTTAATTTCAAGCACTCAAACTGACAAAAAAAACAGGGACCATTGTTTAAGATGTATTTTTATTATTTAAATTGCAAAGTTATTTTATTTATTTATCATTTTTTATTTTTATTTATTATTTTTACAAAATCAGGTTTTATTGAACTGCAGTGGACACGTGTTATTTTAGTCTAATTTCTATACCATCTTTATATTTAATAATATTTAGAATTTATATTTTATATTATATTTGTTTTTATATTTTTCACTTTCATCTTAGTTAAAGTTTTAGTCATTTTGTTGTGTATTTTTTGTATTTAGTTTTTATTTTTAAAAAGTGTTTAATTTTTATGAAATTTTATTTCCATTTTGGTTGTAGTAATTTAAATTTTATAGGCATTTTTATTA